TAGTAGCAAAAACTGAGTCTTTTTGTAAGAAATAGTATATTTTAAAATGAAATGGAAATCTTTTTTAAAGGCTAAAAGCTCATTCAATTTTATGTCTCACAGGGCTTATATACTGAGTTCAATATTATATAACTATTAATTCAACTGTGAACTTAAAAATTTACAGCCACTTTTGAAAGAGATGCATCCTACCTCAGGAAAACGTTATTGAATATGTCAATTGTGTTGTAAAAAAAAAATAAAAAATAAAAAATAAAAAAATAATTTTTTAAAAGGTGTGTGCCACCTTTCAAAAAGTCTTTGGTATTATTATTCCTCTCTCTTTGTACCCCCTCCTCTACCCTGCCCTTCCACCGAACACCCCATTTTTCCTGTTCCATTATTCCCCTTTATCCCTTTATACCACTGCATTCTATCTTCCTTCTCTAAAATACACTCCCATAGCCCCTTACTAATTTTCTGACCTCTATAGGTGTTCCAAATGAAACACACATGTCTAAAGATTCAAAGCTAACATCTACAAATGAGAGAAAATATGTGACATTTGTCTTTGAAATCTCACTCGAAGCACCTCAACAAATGAAGAAAGTAACGTTCATATGATCCAGCTCTCCTCTCCTGCATATATACTAGGAGAAATCTAAGTCTCCATACAGTAGAGACACCTGCACATACAGTGTCTCCTGAGCTACTTTTCTGAATAATCAGGTTATAGGATCAGCCTAGGTGCCCATCAGCAGATGAATTAATAAAGAAAATGTGACATATATAAACAATGTAACATTGATCACTCATAAAGAAGAAAATTTTGTGTTTTGGGGGAAATGGATGAAACTGAAATCATGTTTAGTGAAATAAATCTGGCTCAGAAAGAAAAAAAAAAAAAGAGTGTGGCCCCTAGAAGATCAACCGCACTCCAGTGAATGGCTAGAAACCCAGGAGTGTATGGGCAGCAAAATGGACTCAATGGGTTATTTTAAAAAAGAGAACACAAAGTTGGGAAGGGTGGGGTGATTTGGAGGAATTAGGGGAGAAGTGGGGGGGGTGAATATGATCAAAATACATTGTGAGCATGTATGAAATTCTCAAAAGATATATTAAATTTTAAAAAGACATGAAAATAAAAGAGGGACTTGTTGAAAGAAGAGGCCTGAGGGAGTGGAGGGGACAAGAAAGGGGGATGAGGGTGTAATTAAAACACACCTGTACTGAACACTTATAGACTTTCATGGCCTTCACTTTATTCTGTGAGTGCCACAGCAAGACAACTGTTTACTTACATGCATTTATATTGTACTAGACATGAGTCATGTAGAGATGTTTTCAGTCTACAGGAGGGCACATACAGGCTGGGGGTGAGCACGATGCCATGTTATTGAGGAACTCAAACACTCATGGATTTCAGTATCTAAGATTACCAAGAGATGTCCAGACTTGTCTCTTAAGAAAGTTGAGTACAACACACCATCTAAGAAGTCAGGCACAACCAAGAGCTGGCTACTGCCATGTTCGTCTAGAGCTATGGATTTGTTGGGTAGAATTCCCTTTTATAAAGCAGAATGCAGAGCCCCTAAAGAGAGGAATAGTGGAGTATGAAGTTTTTAATGTACAGAGGAGGGTGAAGATGTCTTTATCCAAGAGGTGGTCATGAAAAGATATACCCATGTGTCATGTTCTTAGGTGAAAAGAAAAATCAGCTCAAGGTGATCACCATGCAGTAGAGTTCTGACTGGGTCCACTTCCTGATACACCTCCCCCAGTCCTGGTGGGGATCTAGCCAGGGGTCCATATCTGAGTGAGAGACAACCAGACACAAAAAGCAAAAACCCACCTGGATTTTGTCCGGAGTGCTAAGGAAATGGCTCGGGAGCAGACTGGGGAGCATTCCGACGTTATTGACTGACAGAAAGAGAGAAAGCAAAAGGTGTCAAAACAAGTGGGAGATCTTCCTACAGAAACATGTACAACGTGACTTCTGACTCGGCTGATCATTGCAGCATGAGTGAGTAATAGCGGTAAGGAAAGTGGATGCTGGCTGAGGAAGAGGCTCAGTGAGTTAAGGTGCTTGCTGCACAAGCATAAGGATCTGAGTTCAATCTTCAGTGCCTACGTTAAAAAGAAAGAAAGAAAAACAACAACAACTGGCGCCTGGAGGCCTGACTCAGCGGTTAAGAGCACTAACTGCTCTTGAGGGGGACCAGAGTTCAGTTCCTGGTAGGTGGCTCAAACCTCCTTAACTCCAGCTGCAGAGGATCCAATACCCGCTTCTCACCTTTGCCGGCACCTGCACACACATACACATACATACATGCAAACACACTCACACACACACACACACACACAAATGAAAATAAAGTAAATCTTTTTTGTTAAGTTGAGCTTAGGCAGTGCACATCTGTAATTCCAGAGCTGGGGAGGTGGAAAGAAAGAGTTTCCTGGGGTTTGCTGGGGCCAGCCAATCCAGCTGAATCAGTGAGCTCGGGTTCTGTGAGAGACCCTGATTCAACAAATAAGGTGGACAGCAATACAGGACACCCTACATTGGCCTCCACATGCATTCGTGTGTGTGTGTGTGTGTGTGTGTGTGTGTGTGTGTGTGTGTGTACAAATTATGACTGCTTATAGTTTAAAGGCCTGGAAAGACATCATTTGCAGAAGGATTTTTGTTTTCAGGGGCTTTTGTTTTTGCTTTTCTGAGGCAGAGCCTCATGAAGCCCAAGCTGGCCTTGAACTATGCACTTGAGGATGACCTTGAACTTCTGATCCTACTTCTTCCACCTCCAGAGTGCACCTCTAGGTGCACACCAACATGCTCAGTTTACGAGGTGCTAAGGATGAAACCCAAGCCTTAGAGCAAACTAGACAAGCACTTTACCAACAGAGCTGTACCTCCAGTCCCTGTGTTTCTTTTTTAATATTACAGGACAGTATGTAGATGGGATCTCAGTTTTGAAAATGGACCTGGAAGGATACATATAAAAATGCAGCACAGGTCTTTGGGGTTTTAAGAAAAATGTGTTTCTTTTATGTGTCTGTCTATCCTTTCCAATTTTTCAACAATAATATGTTTTATATTTTTATTTGTGAAAATGTAATTATTTCTTAAATTTGACGGGAACTTTAAAGGTCAAATCATTCTTTCTCCTGTATAATACCAACAGTACACACACGTCACTATAAAATACCTTGTTTACAAATCATTACAGAAAACATCTTGTTTTCTGAGTAAAAAGTCATTTCCTGTATCTTTTGCATGTGTATGTGTATGTTAGTCTGCATGTGTGTACTGTATGTTTGCACATGAATGGGTACATGTATATATGTGCATGTGGAGGCCTGAGGTCACCACCAGTGTCTTCCTCGACAGTTCTCCACTGTATTTCTTGAGGCAGGGTCTCTCACTGAACCTGGACTGCTGCTATTCCAGCTAGTCTACCTAGCCAGCTTGCCTTAATGACCCCTGTCCCTGCCTCCCAAGTGCTGGGATTACAGGTGGCCTGCCATGCCTGCCCAGCTTCTATGTGTGTTCTAGGGATCTGAACTCTGGTCTTACACTTGCACAGCAAGTTCCTTGCCCCCTGAGCCCAAGAAGTCAGTTCTGAAATTACCACAGTGACTGTATTTCATGGATCAGTCATAGCAACATTTGTTAAACAGACAAATAGCAACATTAATTCTGTGAGAGAAAATCACTTACATATTAAAAAATATAGTTTGGAAGACTGGGATACATAAGCTTGATGTATTCCAAAACCATAGGCATCATTTTTAACATAGCCTCTTGAAAACTGAGCATTATTTTTATTAGATTTTTATTTATTTATTTTGTGCACATGTATGTGTGGAAGTCAAAGGACAACTTACCGGAGTCAGTCCTCTCCTTCCATCAGTTAGACTCCTAGGAATTAGGTCATTAGGCTTGGCAGGCACCTGTACCCCACTGAGCCATCTTGCCAGGTCCAAATACTGAGTTTTAATATTCAATTTAATTACATAATAGAGTAATGGATTTAGTCTAAGCGACCAAAAAATAAAGGGTCACTGAAGTAATTATTGCACTTATATGTAACACCGAGCTTTTTATTTTTCAATTTACTTACCTAAAATTCCAATTTCTAAGCCTTTAAGTTTTTCTTCAATACTGTCATAGATGTCATCTTTGGTAAAATCTGCTTGTATAATCTTCACATGGCTCCCGGTGGTCCACTCTGTGTGAGAGACCACAGATATTTCTAAAGATAGGAAGTGCAAATGGCCCTTTTGACCCAAGTCCCCAGGTGCTCCCACGCTGCTAGGCACATGTGTAAGGAGACAGCCTGACATCCTAATTAAACGTAAGAAACCACCCAGAATAAGAGCTGGGGTAGTGGTGGCAGGGGGTGGGAGAGTGCTGAAGAGATGTGTGAGTGATGGCTGTCCGACCGTTGGGACACAGGTAAGTATGTGCATTAAAATAGATTTCATGGAGTTTGTTTGAGTTCAGTAGTGGTTACAATTAACTGATCACAACCAGTTACAGATTTCTTGGGGCTGGAGAGATGGCTCAGTGATTAAGAGCACTGGCTGCTCTTGCAGAAGACCCTAAGCTGGGTTCCCGGAACCTACATGGTAGCTAACAACTATCCTTAACTCCAGTCCAGAGGATCCAAAACCTTCTTCTGGCTTCTAGGGACATTGCATGCACATAGTGCACCTATACCCATGCAAGCAAAATACTCATACATATAAAATAAATAAAAATGAATAAATGAAATAGATTTCATGGGGCTGGAGAAATGGTTTAGCAATCGAATGCTTGCTGCTCTTGCAGAGGACCTGAGTTTTATTCCCAGCACCCACATCATGCAGTTCACAACCATGGCAGTAACTTCGGCTCCAGGGATTCAGTGCCCTCTTCTGGCACCCTCACATACCTGCACTCACATGCACATACCCACACACAGACACATATACCCATACAAATACACACATAATTAAAAATAAAAATAAAATATTTTTGAAAATAAATTCTGTGCTGTGCTTCTCAAAATCAGATCAAAATCACCTGGGAATTGTGTTAAATAGACAGATTCCTGAGGTCTGACCAAGATCTACTGATTTAGACACATGGGATTAGGCCAGATTGGTCTGCACAAGCTACCAAGTGATTGACACATGCTCATGTTTGAGCCCCTGAACAAAGGCTGTGAAAACAGGTAAGATGCTGTCACAGCTCAGGAGACTCAGGTTCCTTCAGTGTAGATACACGGATCCTTTGTATGTCCCCCACACTCCAGCATTTACACAGAGTATCTTGTCCCCTTATAGTCCTGAGGGGCAGACATTATCATTCCCATTTTCCAGAGCAGTAAATTGAGGCTCAGAGCCCATGCTGGGCTCCTCCAAGCTTAGTGCTCTGTGAGCTGTTTCATGTGGTATGCCATGTGTGAAAGCCCTGGAGCTGCCCAGCCCTCAGTGACTTGCCTTAGCTTTGTAGACCCAGCTCTTCCAGATCAAGCACAGTTTGAGAGGAGGAGCTGCTTTTAATGCAAAAGACACAACCTGCTTTCTGGTGACATGATAAAAAGCACAAGAAGAAAACTCCCAAGGCTGTCTTAATCCTAATCAGAGTGACTTCTCAGATCCAGACACAGAACAAAAGCTGACTTCATTCGTTCAAGGGCACAGAGCCTCCACAATATGATTGCATAGCCCCCACCCACACCCACACCTTCTATCCTGAACCTCCCCAAAGGAACAACACTGACCCTGCACTGTCTGCCAGGGCACTTACAAGTCTTGATAACTGAAGATTTATGCCTCTGGTATTGAAAGGTTGATTAATTATTAAGTTAATAATTATTAAAATTTAAATACTGAAAAGTATTGTGGTCATTCTTTAATAAAATCTAAACAATAACTCAAATCTGCCTTTTAAGGTTGTACAACCATTGTGATCAGCCCTGATCAGATCTTTTTTGTTGTTGTTAAACTGATACCAACTAGTAAGCACCCTCTCTCGCAGAGCATAGACACAGAGGTGACACCATTCCTTGTTTTGGAGGGAGGGGTAGAAGCTAAGTGGCAGTTGGGGCTCCGGCTAAATAGGGTTGATTCTGAGAGTGAAGACCTGAACCAAAGGGAGAAGCGGCTGTGCTCTGCCTGTGCCTCTTGTCTCACCCAGGCCGCAGAATCCAGGGTGGACCAAAGCCTACCCCTTAAACCTTGCCTTTCCTTCTATACCCTGAACCTCATGGATGGGGCCAGATGGCAGTCCAGGCTTCAGGTAGCAGATGTGGCATTGACAGGCAAGACAGTGCCAGATTTGACCAGCTACACACACACACACACACACACACACACACACACACACACACATCTACCTTACCATGTGGCTCACTCACCTATCTCTTCCGCAACAGCCTGTAGCTTTTCCAGTGTCCGGCTGATAAGCACGACGTTGAGTCCATGTTTGGCCAGCTGGGGACAGGAGCAGGAAGACCACAAAGATGTTCAGCAGACAGGAGACTTTAAAGGCACTTTGACCCCAGGGTGGTATACATGACTGCTGTGTGAGGTACCTGCTTCCCTAGGCTTAAATGTGACAGAGCTTCCTGAGCAAAACACTGGTGGGCCTGGCTGAAGCTGACATGGTAACAGCCATGAGTGCTTGCTGTGTGCTCATTACATACGAAGAGCTGTAAGAGCTGTTCTTGTGCAGGCCCACCTCTGAAAGCTCCTCTGTATCTGAGCACAGAGCCTGCGCTATTTTATTCTATACACAGCCAGCCCTCCAAGGCCAAATAGCTATGGATCAGAAATGTTTAGGGAAAAATATCTGGTGGGGAAGGTGGGGAGGGGGGGAATAGATTAATCACATGCAGACATTTTCCCCGTCACCATATTCTCCAAACAATTTAATGTAGCAAGTGTTTATGTGTGTTTGATATTGTAAGAAACCTGGAGATGATGTGAACCGGGCAGGAAGATGTGACTGGATCACAGGCAGAGTTCCATGCCGTTCTACAGGAGGGTCCTGAGCATCTGCAGATTCAGATCCCCACAAGGTCCTGAACCAATCTCCCTGGGACGCTGAGGGATAGGTACAGCAGGCTACAGGGTCTAGGACAGCACACCATAACAGATACAATACTTCTGCTGCAATTTTGATCAACTTCCTACACAGAAAAGCTTTCTTGTGATTCACTTGACAGAATTTTCCCCTGGTTTTTGGTCTCCCCACAGAAAAGAAGATGAAGAGCCCTGGGAACTGGTCTCTAATGCCACAAGAACAGCTGACTGATGGTGAGGAGCAGAGGTGGACACTAATATGGTGACCCACACATGACAGATTCCACAGGGTCACCAAACCCAGATGTGCCAGGATCACAGAAGCCTAGGACTTGTCTACACCTAAAAATGCTATAGTCATTTAGAGAAACTGATGACATTTGCCTCAGTGGTTAAGGCCCTTGATTGTTCTAATCTTTCATACAGTTTTAGTCATAAGCTGCAATGGTGTGTTTGTTTGTTTGTTTGTTTGTTTGTTTGTGGCAAGGTCTCCAGGAGCTCAAGCTGGCCTGAAACTCAATAGATAGCTAAGAAAGACCTTGAACTCCCCTGATCTTTGGTGTGGACCATTACACCCAACTACGTTATCTTTAATTTTTTTTACATTTATGCATTTATTGTGGGAGAGAGTATGTGTGTATGTGTGCATGCCATAGTGTGTATGTGGAGGTCAGAGGATAACTTTCAGGAATCAGTTCTCTCCTTCCATCATGTGGGATCTGAAAATAGAATTCAGATCATCAGGCTTAGCAGCAAGCACCCTACCCACTGAGCCATCTCACTGACCCTATGTTATCTTTTCTTTTTTAATATTTTATTTATTATTTTTATTTTATGTGTCTGAGTGTATTGCCTGCATGTATGTGAGTGCCCCTGTGTCATGCAATGCCATAGAGGTCAGAAGAGGGCTTCGGATTCCCCTGGAACTGGAGTTAAGGGTGGTTAGTAGCCGCCATGTGGGTGTCTATGCTATCTTTTTAACTGTGGGATGTATGCAGCATAACATAAAATGTACCATCTTAACAAAAATATAAGAGCATTTACAGATGTGTGTGTGTCATCCTTGGAGACCCAGGCTGATCTCTGTCCCTTCCAATTTTAGTATATGTGCTGCCAAAGCAAGCATGAGATATACAGTGTGCATGCATGCGTGTGTGTGTGTGTGTGTCTATGTCTGTGTGTCTAGTGTGTGTATGACTGTATGTGTACGCATGCTCATGTATGGGTGCAAGTGGGCGTGTGTATGTGCCTGTGGAGGTCAGAGGCCAACTTCAGGTGTTCCTTTGGTGTCATCCACCTATTTTTTTTTTTTTTTGAGACAGGGTCTCTCACTGGCTTGACCCTCACCAATTCAGCTAGACCAACTGAATTCCAGGGATCCTTCTGTCACTGCCTCCCCAAAGCTGGGATTACAAGTGCACACCACCATACCTGGCTTTTTATATGTGACTTCTAGGAATGAAACTCAGCTCCTCATGTTTGCAAAGTAAGGACTTTACCTGCTGAGCTAGCTCCTCAGCCTCTATGCTGTTACTTTAAGGAAGTATTATATTATAGAAGTATATATTATAGAAGTATAGCATATTATAGAAAACAAGGGGACTGTAGAGATGGCTCAGTGGTTAAGAGCACTGGCTGTTCCTTCAGAAGACCTGGATTTAGTTCCCTGTATCTGACCATTAGACTCTTTTTTCATGGCTTCATAGTGCTCCATAAGTCATCTTTAGATTGTTTTCAAGTTTTCCTATTATCAGTGTCATTACAATAGAAACCCTCTTGTTTAGTTCTTTGCATAAATGGATAAATTAATTCTTAGAGAAGACAGGTGGAATTGTTATGTCAAAGGAGACACACTTTTAACAGTACTGACACATTGCCCTCTTAAACACCACACCACTAAATGTTAAATTATAGTAATTTCTCCACAGTCTCAATGCTTGATGATATTTTGAGTATGTGAATTAAAAATTCATTATTATTTGACTTTTCCCAATATGAAAGAGATATGAGAATATTTAGGGTGTCTTTCCATTCCCGGGAGGCCTTTCCTCTGGCTTCAGGTAGGCTTTAACTAAGGAGTCAGGGTAATAGAAACTCATGGTCACACAAAACATCCCCTGAGTTAGCAACCCCCACATTCTTGTCTCTGCAATTTGAAGAATGAAATTCACAGACCACAGTCGGTGAGTTTTAGACAGAAGTTTATTATAGATTCAGGTGAGAGTTTTAGAAAAGGAGAGAGGGCAAAGCCCTTATATGGCAGGAGGGAAGCAGGGTGCCATTGAGCTGCTAGTCTGGAGACTTTACAGGACTGATGGCAGAAGCTGGGGTGAGACATAAAGAGGTGGTCGGTCCAGTTTGGCCCAGCCACAAGTATCCAAGTGCCCCTCTTAGTTTCATCCACATCCTCATGTGGAGTTGGCAGGCAGAGGTAAGAGATAACAAGAAACCAGGAGCCAGAATTTTCTTCTGGCATTCCTGGCCTCCAGCTAGGACATTCTTAGAACTGTTGCTTTGGGGTACCTGCCCTGCTTGGCCAGTTTCAAGCTTTCACTCTCATCAATTTAGCTCAATGGCACCCTAATTCCTGGGACTCACTCCTGCCATAAAGGGGTTCTGGAGACAAGAACCTGGGGGTTGCTAACTCAGGGGAAGTTTTGTCTGACCATTATACTGTTTTAATTTGGATTTCTCAAATTCTCAATGGCACTGTGAGTATCTTTTTCTATGTTGTGGATCATCAGTATATAACTTTGCTCTTTCTTATGGGTGCCTCCCCCTCTCTGCTGAGGGTGAAAACCAGAGCCTTCTGCATGCTAGGTACCACTGAACCACCTCCTCAGTCCTATAATTTCCTTATATGTTAGAAGGAGCTGCTGATACATTGCTCTTAAGCAGTTGGAATATATTTTTATCCTCTGATATCTGTGCCTTTGTCTTACATCATATATTCATTTTAATGTTGTCAGATTTGTCTTTTCCTAATGGCTTTATATCTGTTTTGTGAAGTTCCCTAAATTCAAGGTGCAAATACATTTTCTTACCAGTTCATAGCCTGGCCAGACATACTGTTCTCTCTCTGCTTCCAGACTCTGATACAGTGTGGAACTGCTCCTGCTCCTGCACTGCACCTTCTGGAACTGTGAATCAAAACAAACCTTATCTCCCCTAAATTGCTTTCTCAAGGTGTTTTATCACAGCAACAGAAACAAACTAAACAGTGACCCTACAGAGATATTGGTCTGGGAGTCTGGGATCTTCTCAAGCTGAATGGCTGCTTACCAGCTACATCCCTTTAAGAAGAACAAAAACAGGAATCTGAAAGATTAAGGATCCAGGACATGCACTTGCTTCCACCACCAGGGTTTTAAGTTTGTTTATTGTCACTGGGGTTTGAATTCTTTTGGACTGAAAAACACAGGTTCAATTCCCCTTCCCAGGGCTTACACCTGCCGGTATAAATTCACTGTTCACAGGACTGAATAGGAAAACAGTGTTCCCTATGCTTCTAGAAAACTTATTTGTGAGTAGGAGCACTTTTCCCAGCTACCCCTCTGAATTCTTTTCTCTCATCATGAGTTTGCTCATTAATGTTTTGTTTCTCATCATGTGACTGGTACCATCCACACCAGCACAGAAGGCTGTCCCCATCCCTGCGTGCTTTGGCCCCGGTTAACACTGCCTGTGTCTCCCTCCTGTACAAGGTTACGAAGGCAGCTGTGGTTATGACAAGGGTACTTGTCCTGTTCCCTATGAGGACACTTTCTGTGTTTCTGACATGAAGCAGGCTATTTCCTGTTGTAAGTTGTGTGGGAATAACTTTTACAATATGGACATGCTCTGGACAAATGACTTTTGTTACAACCAGAAAGCTAATCTTATCTGAGCTTGTTTATAATGTAAAGCCTACCGGGTCTTGGGCTCCTCTTGAACCTAAAATATATAGCTTTAATTCCTCATGAACCTTCCTTGCCCTGACCCAAAAACGAAGTATGAACATGTGTGTGGATGTTTTGCATATGAAGAGAGTGCTGCAGACATCAGAAGCACAGAAGACATGAAGGTTGTGCCATTGTGGCGCAAGCACTAGATGGGGCTGAACTGATAACATGTTTGCAGTTGTGTTTGCATTATTCTAAGTCTGTAGGGGTCAGAAGGGACAAAATCCTTCTGATAAGGGTCCATTTTACTTACCTGTTTCATGTTGGATAGACTGAACAAAAGAAAGTGTGAGCCCTTGTTCAGGAACACAGAAGAAGGAACAGGGTCTCAGAACACTTTGGGTTCCTCCTAGCTAAAATGGATGCTAAGAGTCAGGCGATCTTTATTCAAACATTAATATGTCATTGTGAGATAAACACCATATAGTATATATATATATATATATATATATATGTATATACATATTA